GTAAGACATCAGTAACTAGTAAACACTACATTAAATGTACAGGCTGAATTTATTCATTACCAAACATTACCTCATGGGTTAGGCACACTGGAGACACAATGGTGAACAAATCAGAAATGATCTCTGCCATCTTCTCTTGGAAAGAGACAATAAATAAGAAAATGATAATATATAACATTAAATAATCAAATAATTACTGATTGTCAAAAGTAAATCTGAAGGGAGTAAGTTGCAGAGGAAGGGTACATTGCCTCAGTTCACTCAGGTGTCTGTTCAAATGTTACCTCATCTAAGGCTTGCATCACATGATGTAAATAGGCCTCCTTCAGCTTGTCTTCTCAGCATTTATCATGACCTGGAAGAGTATATATTTGTTTCTAGTCTGTCTCACTCCACCAGAATGGAACAGGTCTCCTGAGAATAGGTCCTAGTCTCTTATTCATTGCTGTTTCTCCAGCACGTTGGTAGAGCACTACTCAATACTTAGTAAATATCTGATGAAAAAAATAAGTGAGAAAGTGGACTTACATGTGGGAAAAGCTTGTTAAGTTGGGGAGATGTCAGGGGGCAGAGTGATTGGAGACTGAGTGGGGACAGACTGGAATGAGGGGAGAGAGAGGCTTTGCCACTGTGCAGCTTAGGTTCTGATGATGAGTTTGGATTTTGTTCCAATCCAAAGGGAGGTCAAAAGTTTTTTGATGAGGGAGTAATTTGGAGGATGCTCTAGCTGCTACGTCAGGAGTGAGTTTCAGGGTGGCAGGGTGAATTATGTCTAAAGTTATGAGGCTCTTGTGTTATTCTAAACCTGTACTGTCCAGCCCTTGTTGTTATTTAAATTCAAATTAGTTAAAATGAGTAAAAGATGGTATTGGCCATATTCACATGCTCAATTGCTGCATGTAGTGAGTGACTACCTTAGTGCACAGCTCTTATACAGAATGTTCCATCATTGCAGAATGTTCTATTAGTACTGTTTTTAAACAATAGATATTGTCTTAAAGAGGGTGGCAACAATGGAGTGCAGTGCAAGTGAAGTGGACAGATCTGGAGATAGAACTAATAGGATTTCTGGGTGGATTGCATAAGGAATTAAATATGCAAATCAAGGATGATTCTGGTGTGAGAGGCTGGGGGTGGTAGCATTAACAAAGATAGGAAGTACTAGAGGGAGAACTAGATCTGTAGGGAGAGATCTATTGGTGCCATGTTAAATTCTTCTTTGGTTTTTAAGATTTTATTTATTCATGAGAGACACACAGAGAGGCAGAGACATAGGCAGAGGGAGAAGCAGGCTCCCTGTGGGGAGTCTGATGTGGGACTCAATCCCAGGGCCCTAAGATCATGACCTGAACCAAAGGAAGACGCTCAACCACTAAGCTACCCAGGTGCCCATGCCATGTTAAATTCTTAATGCTCTGATACATCCAGGTTGAGTTGATAATAGGTAGCTATCAGTAGAACTCTTGAGCCAGAGGCAGAATTTGGGCCAGGGATAAAAATTTGAGAATTATTATGTTACAAATTTCCTCTAGTTATTCTCTCTCAGACATGATTGATCTCCACTGTCACTCTCATCAGTTCTAGTATTACCCATCATTTAAAATAAAATAGAGCAGGGCACCTGGGTGGCTCAGTCAGTTAAATGTCTGCCTTCAGCCCAGGTCATGATCCCAGGATCCTGGGATGGAGTCCTGCATTGGGTTCCCTGCTCAGTGGAGAGTCTCCCTCTCCCATTGCCCCTTCCCCTTGGTTGTGCTTTCTCTCTCTCTCTCTCTTTCTCTCATTCAAATAAATAAAACCTTTAAAAAACAACAAAAATAGAACAAGAAATGTAGCTATTGCCCCATTTCTCTGATTCTCTTTACAGCAAAATCTCTCTCTTTTCTTAGAGGCCACTGGATTTAGAAAGTATATGAGATTGACAACTAGAAGGTGATGGTGAGACAAAACAATTATAGTAGAGAAACACTAATAAGTTGGAGAGATAGGAGGTGGTGATTAGAAAGCAGAATGTTTGCAATCAAAATATCAGAGGTATCAAATGATAACATTTCAGAGCACTGTTAGTAAAGAATTACAAGTAAAGGGAATCTGTTCCCTTCCATGAAATTTAGTGTTGACACTTAGTAGGTATGCACTAGCTCAGTCTTACAAATCTTCAGTTTGTGTCTTATCTTCCTGGCTGTTACTCCTGCCCTACTGGTTATTAAATACTAACCTCAGTCAAACAACAGTTTTAAGGAACATTGACAAACTAGAACACTGAAATGAACATAGAGCACAATGATCAGGATGCCGAAGGGCGTGGGCACTTGGGAGTGTTTACCTCAGAGAAGAAAAAAGACAGAAGGATCACAATTCTTCCTTTCAAATATTTGTGGAATTCTTAGAGACTCTCAGGCCAAATATGAAATTTGTTCTACCTAGTGATATCTAATCATTATTGAGTATTTACCATTATTTAGGCACAGTCCTAAGAACATATAACTCTTAATTTTCTTAACTCTCCTGTAGAGATAGGTTACATTTATCCTCATTTTAAATATAAAGAAACCAAGTCACAAAAAGATTGAGTAACTTGTTCCTAGGGATGTAACTAAAAAGTAGGGAAAGTGGGATTCAAACTCATGCATTCTGACTCAAACACTTGTATTCTTGGGTCCTACCCCAACCATGTGACACGTTCCATTGATGCCTTTTGATTCAACATGAAGAACATGCAATTAGAACTGTTCAAAAAGAGAAAATGCTAATAATTTCCATGTCATATCCTCAAGGTGATGAGTCATATGTCCAAGGTTATTTTAGAACAAACTCAGTGTCAGATAAAAGAATGAACTAAATCATCTCTAAGATTCTATATTGACATCATTCCCTTCTCACCCATTTTAAACCTACACATTTTGTAAATATGTTGTCTGTATTTCTAAGTTATTGATATAAATACTGTATTTGACAGAACCAAGATAGAACCATTTCCATACCATTGAGACCTTTCCTCCAAGTTAATATTGTATGGTTATTTAATCATCTGTGAAACTTCCTTGCCACTTAATTATCTACTTACATTTAATATCTGTTCACAGGATATCATAAGATTCTTTATTAAGTGCTTCATTGCAATCAAGATTAAGTTTATCTCTTCCCCCTAGACATCATCTAATTAGCCCTTACAAAAAAATTAATTAGGTTACTTGAATGTGGCATGTTAAGGATCCCATGCTGGCTTCTTGTGACCATTGATTCCTTCTCCAAGTGTTCAAAAACTATCTGTCTAATAATTTGCTGAAGTTTTTTTTATTTAAACAAACACAATAGGGATCCCTGGGTGGCGCAGCGGTTTAGCGCCTGCCTTTGGCCCAGGGCGCGATCCTGGAGATCCGGGATCGAATCCCACGTCGGGCTCACGGTGCATGGAGCCTGCTTCTCCCTCTGCCTGTGTCTCTGCCTCTTTCTCTCTCTCTCTCATTGTGTGCCTATCATAAATAAATAAAAAAAAAAGAAAATAAAATAAACAAACACAATAATTTACAAATATCAATTTATAAAATCCCATTTGAATATGATTTTTATTTCCATTATATGATTTTTTATTTTCCATTGAGAAATTAAGGCAGAAAGAGATTGCCCAGGGCAACAGAGTTAATAAATGGAAGAGCTAGTGTAAACCAGCAGTTTGGCAGTAGAATCTGTGCCTGTAAGCATTAAGCTACACTATTTCACTGATCCACAATTGGAAATTTTCTACTTTCTTTTCTGTAACTTCTACCCATCTTCCCTCACCCCCAAATATTGTCTTTCAAAAAATTTTTAAACAGTAATACGTTCCTTTTTACATTATTTAAAACTTCTGGCAAGTTTATTGACTCTACCCAGAGTCATTTTCCTTGACATGGAGCATCCCAGAAGTTCCCCCATCATATCCAGTTCGCCAGGCAGAGTCATTAAAGATAAGAATGATGTAGAAGTTAACTATTCCCCTATTCCCTATCTTTCTTTGTCAGATTTTTGAGATAACATAATCTTTAAGACAAATCAATAATGTATCATTGTTTTATTTTGAAAGAATTTAAATTACAGCATGTACAGGTAAATGACAGCAGATGTCCTACCACTCTCAGGACCACCTTTGTAACAACTTTTGTATTTCTGAATTAAGAAAGGATCATTAGTCTGCATTTGGGCAGCCGGAGTGTCTTAGCCATTTGGAGCTTCTATAACAAAAATACTGTAAACTAGGTGGCTTAAACAACAAGCATTTATTTCTCACAGTTCTGGAGGCTTGGAAGTCCAAGATTTGGTGTCTAGTAAGAGTTCACTTCCAGATTCATAGCTGTCTTTTTACTCTGTCCTCACATGGCAAGAAAAGAGTGAGAGTTCTCTGGGTCTCTTTTATAAGGGCATCAGTTCCATTTATGAGGGTTCCAGTGTGACTTAATCACTTCCTTAAGGCCCCACCCCCTAAAATCATCACATTTGGAGTGAGGATTACAACCTATAAAATTGTGGGGGTGGCAGGGGGCACAAATATTCAGTCCAGAACACTGTCCTATTACTTTTGTTTCTCTGTCCCTTTGCCTTCACCACCATGTCTCTTTTCTCATCCTTATATTCACAGATTGCCATAGAGTTGTATGTCATTTTCATCCCTTTGATTATTTAAAATCTGTATCTTTCCACTGTTGCAATCAAACATGAATTCCATCCCACAAATCTTGATTTTTACATTATAGATAATCATTCCTTTGTCAATATTAACATTATGGAATTTAATGTCCCCACCTTGCCCTCTTTTACCTATGTTACTTCACAGCAGAAGTATTTTAATTACTGTGTATACCTCACATTGCAGCTCATTTATGTGGTTCCAAGGAAGAATTTGTCTTGATATCCAGTGGTGCTTACCTGACTCTGAATTTTAAAACTGATATGTCTGTGGGATAAAGAGGTTTTAAACTTATTTTGGAAGATATAAATCAGAAGCATTACAAAAAAGTAGTATGGGGACCCGACTGCCTATCAATGGTAAGTATTTTTAAATATTTATTAAAGCAGATACCATATATATCAAAGTAGAACCTGTGAAACACTGGTTTGTGGGTCCCTGGTAGTCATCCTGGTTTAATATTCAAAACAGGATAACTCCATTTCAAACCATTCCTTAAGGCACAAGACCTTGGTAGTTTAGGTAGACCATTCATGGTAACAGTTACCTGGTGTGTGTGTGTGTGTGTGTGTGTGTGTGTGTGCATGCGTGTGTTTTTACTTAAGAAATAATTATAATTATAAACATAAAAGTCAGACAGTTGCTATTTAAAAAAATCCATGGGGAGATTGAGGCTGAAACAAAGGTGGAGCTCGCTGTGTTTCCATGTCTCTGTTACCGTCTTGGTTTCATTAAATAACAACACCTAAATCCCCAAAAACACACCTCCTCCCAAAAAAGAATATTTTGTTAGGACGTATACTAACTTCTCTGCATAAACTAGAAACACATGTAATGACTTTTCTATTTATCCAATCTACTTTTAAGTCAGAATTTCATTAATTGTGCTTAAGATTAAAAAGCCAAATGAATCTGTTATTAGGAGATTCTTTTGAAGTGTAATTCTAGGAAGAATTCTAATAATCAACAATCAATACAAAGTTCTTTTTGGGGGCATCTGGGTGGCTCAGTCGTTAAACATCTGCCTTTGGCTCAGGTCATGATCCCAGAGTCCTGGGATCTAGGCCCGCATCAGTTTCCCTGCTCAGTGGGAGCCTTCTTCTGCCATTTTCCCCACTCATTCACTCTCTCACTCAAATAAATAAATAAAATCTTAAAAAAAAAACAAAAAACAAAATTCTTTTTGATGTCACTTTGTCTTTTGTAAGAGAAGGGAAATAAATGAGTTCCAGAAAAGTCCTTGATTTGAGCCATAGACTAATGAACTCTATTATCTTATAGGTGTGATTTTTTATTGTGTAAGGAGTATGCAAACTACTGACCCTTAGGTCTCCATTGCTCCTTTTTTTTTTTAAGATTTATTTATTTATTTTTTAGAGGGAGCTGAGTATTCAGGGCTTGATTCCATGATCCTGAGATTATCACCTGAGGTAAAATCAAGAGTCCAGCGCTTGAATGACAGAGCCACTTAGGTGCCCCTGTGTCCATTGCTCTTATCTTTTCATCTCTATATCTCTACATATACTCATGACCCTTTATTCACATGGTAAAAATATTTAGGCTGCTTCATTTCTTCTTTTAAGCATTTCTTTTTTTTTAGAAGTTGAATAAAATTTAATTGAATACTAATAAAATATTGCTGTTAAACATGTGTACAAACAGTCCAAAGGTCTAAGAGTTACCACATACACAGGTTAAAATGCAGTAAGGCAGTAAACCTTAAGGTACAAAACATGTTGAATAAATACCTTTGTGGGTTTTTTTTCTTTTTTCTATGATCTAGGATAGTCTTAATTTTGAAGATTTGCATTTTTTTACATATAAATCCAAAAGGAGGAGGGAATCTTTGTTCTATACATATCTGAAGAGAAAGTAGAAATGAAATTTTTAAAAAGATTTTACTTATTTATTCATGACAGACACAGAGAGAGATGTGGAAACACAGGCAGGGAGAAGCAGGCTCCCTGCAAGGGAGCCGGATGTGGTACTTGATCTTGGAACCCTGGGATCATGCCCTGAGCCGAAGGCAGACAGACACTCAACCACTGAGCCATGCAGGCGTCCCAGAAATGAATTTTGACACAAGTATTGAATAAATAAATCCACTGTGTAGAGAATCTTTGTTTTAAATAGATTTCTCGGATGCCTGGGTAGCTCAGGGCATGATCCCGGGATCCCGGAATTGAGTCCCACATCGGGCTCCCTGCATGGAGCCTGCTTCTCTCTCTGCCTGTGTCTCTGCCCACCCCCTCTCTCATGAATAAATAAATAAAATCTTTAAAAAATAAATAAATAGACTTCTGGTGTTAAGAAAATCTCAAGCACTTAACAAATGAGCATATCTTATAATTCCCAAATTACAGGTTATGAGGAAGCTTAATTTTCTTCATATTTCAGGATATACTTGAATAAGTCTCTTGTTTTTAATTCCCTGGTAGTTCTCTTTCAATCTGAGAACGCAGTAACACATTACCAGAAATTTTGTTTCTTTATGTTTTTCCTTTCTATATAAATTGTACTTGGAATACACATAGTATGAAGTCTTTTGATATGTCTAGATGTGTTATATTGGGGTAACACCAATAATGCCAAAGAAAGAACAACGTCCAGTAATTTCTTGATTAAGTGTAAAATTTTAAAGATCAATGTATGTTCTGATTTGTCTAAAGATGTATATTAATGCTATTGACTTTTGTTCATTTTAAAAGCAATGGAAGAGGATGCCTGGGTGGCTCAGTTGGTTATGCATCTGCCTTCAGCTCAGGTCATCATCCTGGGGTCCTGGGATGGAGCCCCATGTCCAGCTCCCTGCTCAGCAGGGAGTCTGCAACTCCCTCTCCCTCTGCCTCTCCCCGTTTGTGCTTGCTCTCTCTCAAAAAGTCTTAAAATATTTTATTTATTTATTCATGAGAGACACACAGAGAGAGAGAGAGAGAGAGAGAGATTGAGAGAGAGAGGCAGAGACACAGGCAGAGGGAGAAGCAGGCTCCTTGCAAGGAGTCCGATGTGGGACTTGATCCCATATGCCAGGATCATGCCCTGGGCCTGAAGGCAGACGCTCAACCACTGACCACCCAGGCATCCCTCAAATAATTTGTTTTAAAAAATCATTAAAAAAAAAAAGCAATGGAAGAAAAGAGAAATCTCATCTCTTGCTAAGAATCCTAGTTCTGAACTTACAAAATAAATAAGCAGCTCCATTCTGAGATTTTAGTAGACACCGATAAGTCTCTGTAACATTTTGTTGTTACATTTCTCAGAGATAACAGTAGAAAGCAATACTGGAAAACAGCCAACCCCAGACACATGTGGAATTCCAGTTGTTGACCCATTTCTAATGCAAAGGTCTGAGAGAAACACAAATATGCTGCCAGCTGAACGTGGGGAGCCCCGGATGGTTGGTGGCCATGCTGCACCTGCAAGGTCGTGGCCCTGGCTGGTCAGTCTGCAGCACCAAGGACAACATTTCTGTGGAGGGGCTCTGATTGCGAAGCAGTGGGTCCTGACAGCAGCGCACTGTAACTTTAGGTGTGTGCCTATGCAGTGCAGGGGGTGCTGGAGCTGTTTGACCACCTGCAGTGGGTGTACTCCTCTCCCCACATCACAAGAAACATTCAGCTCCCACTGATACAGTCCCCACCTTGCAAATGAATGAACATACTAGGATGATGACACTTTGCACTCCTCTAATATGTTTGCCTTACAGCTTTTCATTTTAAAAAGTGCCTCTGGCTTCTAGGTGTAATTTAGTTTCTAAGTAACAATAAGTCCCTCTTTCCCCATCTATAAAATGGACGTAATATCTTCACATATTTGCATCAGCTTCTTAACACCTTACCTAGAGCGCAGGAGTTGCTCAAATGTGAATTCGTTTCCTTCTTGCTCTACTCTACTGACTACTGATCATCATACCCACTCTCAAAATAAGTATCATCTTTCAAAGAATTTTAAAGAATGTCCTTTAAAAGAAACATTTCAAAAAATGTTCACTGAATCTTGGTCTCAATGTGATAGGGAGATATCTGAAAACTCCTTCCTCAGGGAAGTCTTAGGTTGATGTTTTTAATTCTGGCCTCCCAGAAGTAGTGATGGCCCATAGTTAAATGCCTCTAAAATAGGCTTTATAATAAAAGTGTCTGCTCAAATAACTTGGTGGGCAGGAATCTTCAAAGAATCAAAAACTTTTTTTTATCATCCCCAACTCCTTTGATATAGAGAAATCACAAGAAGTTCTCCTTAATAAGGTGATTTTCAGACTTTCATGTGCTCAAAATTACCTGGGGAGTTTGCTATGAAATCTTAGAATCTTAATTCTGAATTTTGACTTGATGAGTTATGTCTGGAATCCTGCATTTTTAAGGCACATGCCAGATTTAATGCATGTAGTTCCTAGACATTTCTTTGAGAAACATTGTATTAGGAAGTAGAGTAACTATAACTTTCAGAATAGGTTTCAGTGGCCATTATATAACTATATCATATAATGTGTAATATTATGGTTTTAATGATGCATGGAATCATTATCCTGAGGCATCATGAGTCTTGTCAAGAAATACTAAATCATTTGTTTGTTTGATGTTATGAAGACAAGAAACTAGATACCTTAATTCTTCTCAAAGATCAAATTAATAAGAATCCCCCATCTTCTAAGAATTCAAGATAGCAAAGATTCTAATGTAGATTGGAAATGTCAGAGAATATATTTTTAGTAATTTTGAAAAATTGTGACCTCATTAAAAATGGTATCTATTTCCCCCATTCCTTTTTCTTATGACAAGTACTGTCACAGATGGCCTGGTAATAGGAAAAAGTTACCTCTCAAACACAGGAAATAGTGATTTGATGCCAGTGAAAGCTGTATACACTCACCCTGGCTTCACACAGTTCCCTCCTACGGATGATCTATCCTTGCTGCATCTGGAGAAACCTGTCAAACTAGGTCGGTATGGATAACTCTCCTTCATATCTTGAACCTTTGCCATATGTGTTTTATTTTTCATCTTGCTTAGAAGTGCTGTATGTACTTTTGCAAGTCACTATTTCAAAACTGTCTTAAATACTTTCCCTCAAAGCTGAAGCACCTGCCCAAACATTTTACTTCTATATGTTTTTAATTGATGGAAGTTTAGAGAAGATTTCAAAGAAATATATTTTTATTATTGTCCTATTTATTCGGAGACCTCACTCTTAGGTGAAGTTTACCCAAATAATTAAAACAGCAGTTTGAACCATCAGGTGTTCAATTTTTTGTACCTTTAGGGTTTAGGAAAATTTTGTTCTTTTTTATTTTTTCTTTTTTTTTTAAGATTTTATTTATTTATTTATTCATGAGAGACACAGTGAGAGAGGTTCTTTTTTAATGTTTATTTAAACCGAAGCTGATGTGAGCATGTAGTGAGGAATGGTTCATCTTGGTTCTGTCACATAGTAGCCATGTGATCTTGGGCAGGTTATATAACTTCTCTGAGCCTCAGCTTTATCACTTGTAGAAAGGGAATAATAGTAACCCTCTTACCTACATGGCAGGGGTGCACATTCAGTGAGAAGGTAAAATGGGGGAGGGAAGTAGGACGAAGGCCTGTGGACAGTCCCCACTTTCACACTTGTGCCTTTCCATGGCTTCCTAGAGCTCTGGGACAGTACTCTTGCTTTCTTCCAACTCTCCCAATATTTCTGCATTCTTCAGCTGGTCCCTTGCCAATAGCCTCATTTCTCTACTTAATGTGTTTTCAGTGGATCCATCTTGCAAATTCCAGTCATGGTTCAGCCTACTGTTTGCTTTCTGTGCTTTTATAAGTGACTCACTTAAAGCATCTAGAACAGTGTTGCTTAACCTTGGCCATGCATTATAATCCTGTGGGTTGCAAAAAAAGAAAACAAAACTGTAGGCCAGGATGTAATTTGGACCAATTAATCACAGTCTCAGCAGTGGGAAACTGGCATCAGTATTTTTTTTCCTTATTTTGCTTATTAAAATTTTTAAATTAAATTGTTTATGTTGAAATAATTATAGATTCACGTGCAGTTGTAGGAAATACACGCCAATGTACTTTTTTTTTTTTTTGCCCTTTATCCACGAATGGAAACATCTTTCAGGCTATGAATATTGATACAGTCAAGATACAGGACACTTCTATCACCACAATTGACACTGTTGCTTTTTTATAGCAATATTCATTTCCATTTCCCCACAAGACTTCTGGCCACCAGGAATCTGTTCTCTGTTTCTATAATTTTGTCATTTCAAGAATGTTATATAAATGGACTTACACAGTATGCAACCGTTGGGGATTAACTTTTTTTCACTCAGCATAATGCCCTGGAAATTTATTCATATTGTTCCATGTCTCTATAAAATAGCTCATTCCTTTTCACTACTGAGTAGGATTCCATGAGATAGATGTTTAGCCATTCATAAAAGTTTAACCATTCATCTGTTGAACATCTGGGTTGTTTCCAGCTTGTGGATATAACAAATAAAGCTCCAGTGAGCATCTGTGTATAGATTTTGAGTAAATAGAATGGAATAGGAGTTTTCATTTCTGTGAGATAAATGCCCAAGAGTACAATCACTGGGTCATATGATAGGTGCATTTCAGGTTTTAAATTTTTTTAAATTTTTTTTTTTTTTAGGATTTCATTTATTTACTCATGTGGGACTTGATCCTAGGACCCCAGGATCATGACCTGAGCTGAAGGCAGATGCTCAACCACTGAGCCACCCTGGTGCCCTGAGTTTCAGTTTTATACAAAACTGCCAAATGGTTTTTCTGGAGTCATAGGACTATTGATATCCCACCAGAGATGTAGGAGTGATCTGGTTTCTCTGCGTCCTCATAAGCATTTGCTCTCATCACTATTTTTTTAAGGCATTTTGATCAATATGCAGTGATATATTACTGGAATTTTAATTTGTATCCCCTTAATGGCTAATAATAGTGAACACATATTCATGTTCCTATTTGCCATTTTTAAAACCCCTTTCATGAAATGTCTCTTCACAGCTTTTGCTAATTTTCTAACTGGATTGTTATTCCTATTGCGGAGTTTAAGAATTCTTTATATATACTAGAAACTACTGCTTTGTCAGATATGTGGTTAGCAAATATTTTCTTCCAGCCTGTAGCTTGTCTCTGTCTGCAGATCCTGTTACAAGGTCTTTCACAAAGCAAAGATTTTAATTTTGGTGAATCCCAATTTCTCCATTTTCCTTTTATGGATTTTGCTTCAGGTGTCAACTTCAAGAACTCTTTGCCTAACCTTAAATGCTGAAAAAAATTTTTCCCATTTCTCTAAAATTTTAAGGGGCACTTGGGTGGCTCAGTGGTTGAGTGTCTGCCTTTGGTTGCGATCCCGGGGTTCCGGGATTGAGTCTTGCATGGGGCTCCCCACAGGGAGCCTGCTTCTCCCTCTGCCTTTGTCTCTGTCTCTCTTTGTGTCTCTCATGAATAAATAAAATCTTTAAAAATAAAATAACATTTTTATGTTTTATATTTAAATTTGTGATCCACTTTTAGTTAATTTTTGTATAAGGCTTAAGGTTTCAAGATTCTTTTTCCTCCCCCAGGATGTCCAATTGTGTCAGCAGAAGCTGTTGAAAAGGTGGTCTTTCCTCCATTGAATTGCTTTTGTGCCTGATTTTGTGAAAAATCAGCTGAGCATATTTGATGGGTCTCTTTCTGGGATCTCTACTTTGTCAGTCTAGGTCTTTCCTCCTTCCCCAGTACCACACTGTCCTAATTACTGTAGCTAGATAATAGGGTTTATATTAAAAACTGATTTCTCTCAACTTATTCAAGATTGTTTTAGCAGTTCTTAGTCGTGTACCTTTTCATGTAAATTTAAAAATAATATGTTTGCAACATTCCCTATGATTTTGACAGGAATTACATTAAACCTATAGATCGCTTGAGGGAGAGCTGATATCTTTACTATGTTGACTCTTTCAATTCATGAACACAATGTATTTTTTCCACTTGTTTAGGTCTTTTTGATTTCTTTCACCAGAATACTGCAATTTTTAGTGCACAGATCCTGTATATGTTTTGCTATGTATATACATGTCTAAGCATTGCATTTTCTTCAGTGATTATCAATAGTATTGTGTTTAATTTTAAATTCTACATGAAATGTGATTGGCTTCTGTATGTTGGTCTTGTATCCTGGATCTTGCTGAATCTAGAGGAGTATTTTATAAACTTCTCCTGGAAATTTCAATGTGTAGTCAAAGTTGAAAACCACCATTGTAGAAAAAGATCATTGATGAGGTGTGGGTGCCTTTAAAAATTTGTGGTCTCCAGTTTTAGTACCATTCTGCAGTCTTTGTGTGTATGTTTCTTCTTTCCAATTTCCACAAGAGTCATTACAAACATTCTCTTTTTTCAGCCCTTCTGAACTTACCCTTACCCTTTATCTTGTCCTCCCCCCGCCGCTTTCCTGGTCTCCAGGGATCTTGCTTTCCACTTAGCACCACGTGATGTCAACAGCAACATGACATTTTTTGCTCCTCTTCACCCTACGTATTTAGTTTACCTAGTCTGTACCCATTCATTTCTTTTTCAGTAGTCATAGTGAGAAATATCCTTTTTCCCATTAGAAACAATAAAATTTCTACCTATGATTTTCATCCTTAACACCTCATCATGGGCATTATGTGGCCATTTGGCCTATTTATTTCTTGTCTTTTCATACTGCTCTACATGTACTTAAATAATTGTAATATACCTATTATGAGTTTTATCCTGATTTTTCACTTAGTATCAGCATTGCTTCATATTATTAAAATTTCTTTTAAAATGTAATTTTAATGGCTACACAGTAGCTTTTCCACAATTCTTATAAATAGGTTCTTTTTTTTAATTTAAATAATGCTGGATTGACTATCCTTACATATATGTTTTTCCAGGTCTAGGTTTGTCTTAAGATAAATTTCTCAGAAGTAGAATTGTTAGATTTAGGACACAACCGTTTTCAAGATTCCTGACATACTTCTAAATTAAAAACACAGCTGGGTAGAGTGTAAGTCGATATATATATATATATATATATATTTTTTTTTTTTTTGGTTCAAAAATGAGGCAATTTGGCAATATCTGTTAATCTTTAAAGTGTATGCATCCTGCCCCAGCAATTCTATCTCCCACAAATACTGGCACTAATGCACAGATTGATGACCTAGGATGCTTGATACAGCTTTTAAGGAAAAACAAAATTAAATAGTCTAAATGTTTGCCAAGGGAATTTATCAAATTGTAGTATGTTCATTATCTTAATACTGTGTGCTATTAAGAAAATGCCATGGGAGGTCTAAATGTAATGATATAAATGATATGACCATAATCTAGTAAATGAAGAAAACCAGAATAAGAAAAATGGCTGATTAAAAAAAAATGTTGGTAGAGGGAAAATATTTTAGCTCAAAGAAATTTGTCAGGAAATGATATGATATAGCAAGGATTATCTGTGAAGGTAGCATAACAAGATTTGTAATCAGAATGTAAAGAGGAGAGTAGGAGAGAAATAAGTTACAGAGTTTTATGTGATTTTATTGAGACAGCAGTAAAAAATAAAGAACAAATCATTGAAATAAATGATCTAAGACAGCAAATATGTTGGAACATTTAAGTGTGTAAAAATCTGGATAAAATGGAAGTCAAACAGCATGGGAAAACAGACACAGGAGCACTTGCATCCTGTGTGTGTGTATGTATGTGTAAGTGCAGTGTATATACACAAAGCCATACACATAAACCTACAATATTTATATATATACAAATTTTGGTGATAAAAAATGTGAATGTGGAAATATATATCATACTTTATAGTATCCCTGCAAAGATAGAGTTAGATATACAAATACTAGCTGTGAAAATGCTCTAAAAGTTTAAATTGCCACAAATGTGTTTTTTTTCTTCATTCCTCATGTCACATAGTTCAGGAGAAAAGATGATTATACTCTTCTGAACTGTCATCTCAAATTCAACAAGGTGATAACCTAAAGGCACATGGACAAAAAGGCAGATGCATTTTATTTATTTTTTATTTTTTATTTTTTTAAAGATTTTATTTATTTATTCATGAGAAACAGAGACAGAGAGGTAGAGACACAGGCAGAGGGAGAAGCAGGCTCCAGGCAGGAAGGCCGATGTGGGACTCGATCTCAGGTCTCCAGGATCATTCCCTGGGCTGAAGGCGGCACTAAACCGCTGAGCTACCCAGGCTGCCAGGCAGATGCATTTTAAAAATGATCAGCAGATGAGAAACCACCCCTATGCAGGGCATATGTTTCTATGTTTCTACTGTCCTAGGAAGATATGGTAATACTGGCACAAAGTGGTTACAAGTGAATTGAGATGATCCCTTGTGAGTAATTAATAGATAGTATCTTCTGAAAGCTTTACTTATTAAATTACAGGGTTAAAACAGGTACTATTCAGGTCAAAATAGTTATTTTTAGAGCCATCATTGAATGGAAACAATATAGATAATATCATTCCAATGGACTAAATTATATTTGCCCCCCCCCTTTTTTTTGGTTTTAGGAGAGTTTGAATCTCTAATCTGTTTGCCAGAGAGAGACGATAAAATACATTTACATTCCAAATGTATGACTGCTGGATGGGGAATAACTGAACCATATCGTGAGTACATTCACTACCTCTTCCAAGATTAGAACCCCCGCCCAAAAAAAAAAACAAGATTAGAATCCAAACAAGTATTTGTGAAATCTGAGTATACTGTTTGCTCCTTTTCCATTTTTCTGTTTTTAATGTGAGTAAGTGTAGAAAAAGTCTTTTCCACAATGGATCTAAAGGTGTGACTACTTGGGTTTTAGGACATCATATTCATTAATACTAGTTAATTGATACTAGTTCACAGAGACTTGTAAAAACTTGTGCTGGAGAATATCTAGTGATTCCTTTTACCTAACAAATATTTGTATGTCTCACTTATATATAATTCCTCCCCAGTTGCACTGTGTGAATACACACACTTGGTTTCACAACAGTATAGGTATGGCTACTGTAAAAATATCTTCTTAAAGATATGAGCCTATTTCCACAGATGTGAGGCATTTTTCTGAAATGATAGGCTGGTGTAAATGGTAAAGATGATGTGAAAATAGTCTATAGACTCATGACTCTGGTCTCATTTCCACCATATTCTATAACTGAATTAACACATTACAAATAACCAATAAAATAAACAGCAAGTCAGAATGCAACTTCAGTTTTCACCTCTAGTGTCAACACCAATGTGAAGTCAAGTCAAAAGAATAAGTACACTATGAAACCAATGGAATATAGACTTAACATGTAAAAAATGAAATGCATTGTTTGTTTTATCAACAACTGACTTGAGTGTAAACTTCCTTTTCCCTTCTATATAGTGATGTCCTTTTTCTATCTTCTTAGGACTGTACAAAAGAACCCACATAAAATGTCATTTGTTGTTCCAGTTGTAGAAGCCACCATGGAGTAATACTAGTATTTTACAAACCACCTAACAACATCACTATAGTGCCAAGAGGAGAGAATGGTTGGGATTTGACCCTCAGAATCTATTTCTGTTCTATCTTTTAAAAGCATTTGCCTAGGTTATGTGTTTTATTCTTTTTCTACTAGAAGACAGATTTTCTAAAACTGTGCAGGAGGTAGTGATGGTATCACTACCACTGATCAGCAGTACATCTTGTCGAAGCTACTGGGGACTGGATATTAAAAACACCAACATCTGTGGAGGGGCTGCAGGCTCACCCTCATGCATGGTAATTCAAGGATGCATTGATTAGTGTGGTTTTCTTCTCAGTGTGTCTATGAATGGGTGTTTGCTGGCCATAAAGAGGTATAAATATATGGTAGTTTCAAAATGAAATGAAAAGCAAGAAGAATAAGTACATTGCTAAACTGATGTACTGTCATTGCTAATTTGATACTTGAAGTGAACGCAGTTCTCAAAAGGAATTGCTCATTCATTTGCTTGGTTGACTACGTGAAATTGATGATATTCAACTGTTTTTGACCTATAAAAATAATTTATTATGGCTCAGATTCACAGCTGAATCAGGCAGCTCAAAGAATCTACTTCCAGTGGCATTGAAAATATATTTTCATGTAACTCAAAACCACCATTTAGTCATTTATATTTAGTAGATGCTTGAAACTTTTTGCAAGGCACAGTCTGTTGCCAGCATTAAATGACTTTGTGTTAAATGTACCTTTTAGCCACTCTTTGAAAATATAGATTTTGATCTTATTCAGAGATCTGTAACATCTGCCAACTGCCTACTTCCCTCTGCTGTCATGAGCAGAAATCAAAGATGAGGGAATGTCTTCCACACTGTCTGACCAGCTCTGCAGTGGAGGTTAGCATCAACCATGAATCATGAAACCAGGAGAACTTCTCTTTTTGCTGGTTGCAGGGAGATTCAGGAGGACCGCTCCAGTGTGCCCACGATGGACAGTACAAGCTCATCGGTATCGTGAGCTGGGGCAGCAGTAACTGCCTTCCTGCTGCACCAACAGTCTTTGCCAGAATTTCTGCCTACAGGGGCTGGATCACATCTGTCACTGGAGGAGAAGCATGATCACTGAAAGAGTAGCATGGTGGAATTGTGTTTATACATGGGAAAGGAAATCCTTAACAGTATACCTGAAAAATAGGTCTCTTGTCAGTGCTAAAAAAGATTCAGAGTCACTTCCTCTGACCCTTGTCATTGAGGACCTTGGTTTGGGTGGGTACATACATTTAACATTAAACACTGACACAAAGTGAATGTTGATTCATACCTCCTGGAAATTTATAATCTGAAATGTCATTAAATTCATATTTAGTGTAACCATGTATATGCCATTATTCAAATACCATCATATACACTGTTACTATTTTTTCTAGTTTGGTAAACATTAGAAGATATGAAGTGAAATGCTATTCTTAATCTCACACGGAATAGTGCCCTGAGTACACAGTCAGATAGGGAAGATCCCTCTAAGTTTCAGAGTTTCAATGAACAATGGACATTTAAGAAATGATTTCTCAGACTTATTACTTCATTTCTAAATTTTTAGATGAAATTTTAGGGTATCTCAATTGTTTACAAAACAGTTAATTCATCTGAACCTCAGTTAACCAATATGCTCATCTTTCTAAGCTGTAGCCAAGAAGGGAGAAGGAACTAAGAGAGGCCCTCAACCCAGAAGATTAAATGCCAAAGTCCATTTATATATAAATGGGAAGTCCATTTATATATAATGGGAAATATATAATAGGGAATGAGTGACGGCCTGTAGAAACTACTTTTTCCTTATTTTATGCATTTCCCCCCAAATTAAGCATTTGGTTTCCAAGAGTGCAGCATTCAGAGAAAGAGTATAGTTCAACTTTAGGTCAGCACCTCTATTACCTAATGAAAGAGCAATATAAGGAAGTAGGAAATATATACATATATATTCTTTCTCTCTCTTTCCCTTTCTGTCATTCCTTTGTCCTCACCTCACACACTCTCTTTCCATCTCTGCTCTTTCTTGCCAATGCTACAAAGAGAAAGCATTATAAATGTCCTAGTCTTTAGTAAAAACTCCTTCCATGAGTACTGGTCTAAACTGCCTGCGTTGATTAAAATTATGCTTTTTGCCAGGGCCTCTGAATAAAATAGAATATGAGCTGTGCAATAGGGATTCTCTAATTCTCCTGTTAATCCATTTTGTGCTATTTTTACTTTGTCTCCTGTTGAAATTTTCTCATCTTTTTTTATCAGGTGACATTAAAGGGGATTAAAAATGGGCTGGAGTGAAGTGTCAGGCCTGGCTAAAGCCTTTTTGCTTCATGGTGTGATTTGCTGGTGCTTAATTCTGGTGCTGCCACAACCCCCACTGTGACCTCCTAGGATGGTAACCAGGTGGTGATATTCCAGGGCCCTGTCAGGAAGGGGTGCAGACTTAGCATTCCACATACCACCAAGAGAAGCTGCCTGATTTTCCTACAGGCGTCAGAAACTATTTAGTGCTGTTTTGCAGCTTCAGTTGGCAGTCATTTTTAAATTCTTCTATATTTAATCTTTTATCTATGGAATAGGATTGTTAGACTGTTTTACTTGCCCCACCTCTACAATTCATTGGAGGAGGGGCATTCATAGTCTTACTCTGACCTTTTCAAGGGCTCTCCTGGTTTGCATTGCAAGGTCAAGCCGTACATGTACCAGGTTGCGGTCAACTGTGTAAACTGATATATTAGGTAAGGGTGACACAGCCAAATTTAAAGGAATGAGAGACCTAATCACCTAAGTCTTCATGTATGTATAAAAAAATAACCTTTTTTGGGACCCCTGGGTGGCTCAGTGGTTGAGCATCAATCCTGGGGTCCTGGAATTGAGTCCCCACGTCAGGCTCCCTGCGGGAAGCCTGCTTCTCCCTCTGCTTGTGTCTCTGCCTCTTTCTGTGCGTCTCTCATGAATAAATAAAATCTTTAAAAAATAATAACTAAAATAAAAAATATCCTTTTTGAGCACCTATGTGGCAAATGGAGGGAACCAGAAAGAAGTTGTTTCCTTCATCTTTAGAATCTCATGGTGGTGGAGAAGAGTGATACACAAATTATTCAACAAGCTGTAGGAGGTGGCAGCCTAGGAGACAACAGCCAGCACTTTCAGAACAGGTGAAGGTTTTACAGAAGATTTGAGCTCAAGTATTAGTTGATTTTTGTTTTGTTTTAGAGTGTTCTACACCAATCTCCTATGTTAAAGAGATTTTCTATCGATCAGTTTTCCTATCAACAACTCCACATACTCTGAATTTCTCCTGTCATGTAGATTATTGGAAAATGTGCTCATTCTTCAGCCATAAATTGGATTCCTTCATTTCCTCTAACGCCCCACCACCTTGTTTCTTTCATATGATTTTTTAAAAAGATTTTATTTATTTGAGATAGCATGCATGAGCGAGCATGAGTGGGAGGAGGGGGCAGAGGGAGAGGGAGAAGCAGACTCCCCGCTGAGCAGGCCGCCCAAGGTGCAGCCTGGTCCCAGGGCACTGGGATGACCTGAACCCAAGGTAGCAGCTCTGCCAACTGAGCCCCCCAGGTGTTCCTCATATGATTTTCCATAATATAGTTCCAGCATGTCATGCATGTTCTTTGTCAATTCAAGAAAGTGTCAACAATTTAAGTCTAACAAGTATCTAATTCTCACCACTTTTTTTAAAGATTTTATTTATTTATTCATGAAAGACACACACAGAGAGAGAGGCAGAGACACAGGCAGAGAGAGAAGCAGGCTCCATGCAGGGAGCCTGACGTGGGACTCCATCTGGGATCACAACCTCAGCCAAAGGCAGATGTTCAACCACTGAGCCACTCAGGCATCCCTAATTCTCACCAAAAATTAACAGCATTTGGCACTTATCCTGATTTCATCTTGGTCTCAACTGTCTCATCAGTAGATTATCACTCTCAATTTTCTATTCCCCATAGATATTTATAAAGAGTAATCAAATTGTCAAATAATGGCAACACAAAAAAACTGCTGGTACCAAGATATCTAAAAAACTCTTAAAAGGAGGCTGAATAAAGTGGGAGAACTATAATGGGTGATGCAGCTATAGTAATTAAGACAGTGATTACAGTATTGCTGCAGAGATGAACTGACCAATGGAACAGAACACAAAAGCAAGAAGCAATGCCATTTTCCATTTTTTAAGTTGGCAAACAATTGCAACAGTGTGACAATATAAACATGATGAGAATGTGGAGTGGGGTGGAACTCTTCTCACTGCTAGTGCTCCTGGGGTATAATCAGGTACTCCAGCCTTAGAAGACTTAGATAGTAGCAGAAAAATTTAAGATGCCAGTGTCCTCTGAGTCTGCAGTTCTACCTCTAGGTATATGCCCTAGGGCACTGTCTTCATAGCTGCAATTAAATGTAAAATGTGGAGTGTGGGAAATGATATTTTTTAAGGCTCCTGGCATGATTCTAATTTGCAGTCAGGTTTGAGAGCAGTGTCTTAGAGAAAATGAGGCGACCATGACCACTGAACATGTACAAGAATGTTTATAGAGATGTTAATATCAGCAAAAGCTGGAATTCCACATGTCCCCCATAGAAGCATGGATAATCAAAATGTAGTATACTCACATAGCAGTAAAAAGTAGAAAACAGGGGGATCCCTGGATGGCTCAGCAGTTTAGTGCCTGCCTTCGGCCCGGGGTGTGATCCTGGGGTCCCAGGATGGAGTCCCACATCAGGCTCCCAGCATGGAGCCTGCTTCTCTCTTTGCCTGTGTCTCTGCGTCTCTCTCTCTCTCTCTCTCTCTCTCTCTCTCTCTCTCTCTCTCTCTGTGTCTCTCATGAATAAATAAATAAAATCTTAAAAAAAGTAGAAAACAGTCCATAGGCTCTTTAGGTGAATCTTAGAAGCAATGATGAGCTTTAAAAAATTTCAGAAGATTAGGTACCATTAATAAAGCTCAGAAATAAGCAAACTTAAACATTATTTTGCTTAGGCTTATATCATATATGATTTAAAAATGCAAGAGATGTAGCCCAACATTTAAAGTAGTGGGGAGGCTGTGCGATATTGTTGGAGGAACCACACACAAGTCATTTCAATGCTATTAATAATTTTCTAGTTAAGTTGGGTGATGGCTTCACAGATATGTATTATCCTGCTTCATAATTTACTTATGCTTCTGTGTACATGAAATACACCATATAAATATATTGAAAGGCCTTTTAAGTTTTTTTTAATTTTTATTTATTTATGATAGTCACACACAGATAGAGAGAGAGAGAGAAAGAGAGAGAGAGAGAGAGAGAGAGAGGCAGAGACATAGGCAGAGGGACAAGCAGGCTCCACGCACCAGGAGCCCAATGTGGGATTGATTCCGGGTCTCCAGGATTGCGCCCTGGGCCAAAGGCAGGTGCTAAACCCCTGCGCCACCCAGGGATCCCTGAAAGGCCTTTTAAAAATTTTATTACTTTACTGAATATCCTTCCAGTGCTTTTACGCAAATAAATACAAACATGAATGTGTATTCTTATTTTCCCCCCTTATACAAAAATAGCATGTAAGTTGTTCTAAATCTTACTTTTCCCACTTGATCATATATGCTGGAGATCTTCCCATATCACTGTACTTTTTCTGAAAAAAATTTATTGGAGTATAATTAACACACAGTGTTGTTAGTTTCAGATGTACAATATAATGATTCAACAATACTATACATTATTCAGTGTACTCTGAATCTGTTTTATCTCAGCCCCCACTTCCCCCTCACCCCACTTAAAGGCCTTTTTAATTACCCTAGCTCCTCAGAGTAACTTTTCCTTCTGTCCAGGTAATTAGAATGTTCCACACATATCTAGAACATTAAACCCTCGAATTTTTTTGTGGTTCCCTTTGCCTAGAAAGCACAAATTGTCCTTGTGACTTGCATTTGCTGTTGCTGATGTCATTTGTAACAATCAGCCTATATGTTAATTTCTGCTTAGTTAATTAACACTGGCAGTTACCAGTCCATAATCTACTGTCCATAATCTTCTAGGGAAAAAGGGCTTCAAATGTGTCTGAATATCTTCTAGATGCCAGACATTACC